AGCAGGAAAGATGGATCATTTTCTAAATCTACAATTCCAAACAAAGACTGTAGGCATGAGCGATAGTACTCCAGCTACAGGGGTCAAGGTGACGGCAACTTGGTGTCAATTTAAGTATGTATGAGTCAATTACTAGGTCACCTGTAAGCACAGCATTGGTGGGAATCTACAAATGGTCATTTATAGAAATAATTCTATTTTCTAACTCAAACTGCCTGACCTTTCACAACTCCTATCTCCACACTAACATCTCACTGCTCTCAGTGATCAGAAGGTTAGTACATTTCTGAATACTGAAGTATCCATGATCCCTTAGAGATGATCTTTGAGAGACCTCAGAGATAAGGTCCATCTCTTGATTTGCTATATACTCTGTTTGGCAATGAGGGGAAGTCACTTTATCTCACTATGCTTCAGCTTTCCAATCTGCAATATGGGATACTACCTAGCCTTATTGGGTACTATACAATTAAATGCTGCCACCTAAGTATTCAGAAGCTGACCAGCCTCAGGATTACTGGAATTGAATGAGGCTGAGCTATTGTACCCTTTTAGGGAAGTCTGCTTAAGAGACTTCTTGGTGACCAAATGGCCTCTGCAGAATCCAGTTGAGTCTTTCATTCATGTTCTAACCTTGCTCTGGACTCAGGTTGATGAGACTCGGACTAGAACCAAGTTACAAATGCCTACAGTGAATGCAAATGCCTAGTCATGCTGGGGGTTTCCTAAGCACTTGCATTGAAAGGAACAAGAGGGTCATCTTCTTTGAAGAGCAACTATAGTTCTCCTGTAACATCAACTTTGTTTCGGCTAGATGGTCAGTTTTGTGGCAACAGTAGGGTCCACTGTGGTCCACTACAGTATGTGATAGTTCTCAGCATTAATGAATCAAGCTACTGGCTAGTTGGTCCTTGAGACCCTGAATAAGAGGACGGAGACTTGCATTTCTAAACAAGGTACTTAACCAGAACTAAAGAGATCTGGCATCTTTCAAATTAGGCTATAAGATCAGAGCCATGTGA